TATTTTTTTTGTTAGAACAACAAAAATACTTTACCATTCAACTATTTACTTCATTTAGAATCAATGCTGAAAATATTGATTCAGGTGTCATAGGCACTTTAAAACAATTCTTATTTACCACGTGTAATTGATATATTACAATTGTCATGTAGAGGAACTCAAAATAAGAGATAAGAAATTAGAGAAAGAARGAAAACAAGAGGAGGAAGCAAAGAAGAAGTCAGAGAAAGGAGTCAATAAAAGGGAAGTGGAGGAAACAAACGCAGGTAATAACGCACTCATATTATATTCAACTCCCCTAGCCTTAATCATCATTTAGCATTTACGCAGTCCATAGTTAATTGACTATGCGCAGTCTAAATCTTTAAAATGACTGATATTGAATAGCTGGGAGTTTTATCGTAAAAAAATCATAGCAAAATTTCTAATAGGAAGGGATGAAGTGCCTGATGAAGGGGTGTTATCAGTTTCATATGTACGTTTTYATTTGATTTTTTCTTGATAAAATATATAGTAACTTTCGTGGTAAAAGACCCGACGAAGCAAGACGAACGAAAACGATTGATTGAAGATAAAAAACGCGATGAAGAGGAAAAGAGAAAAAGAGAAGAAGAAAAAAGACGTAAATTTGAAGGTAAAATMTTGCTTCTATCAAGTCGTAGATTTAGTTTATTTACCCTCGGGTTACAATGAGACTGCTTTGGTCTCTAGCAAAATACATGTTAATAAGCCGAGRCAGAGGGAGAGTCTTGAGGGTCAGCACTTTCTTTCTCACGAATGTTTCCATGCCATATGGTTAGCATGAGTAGCATGGTTGGTGTTCGCAGCTAACGCGTCGTCTTTCACCGCTGTGAGTCCAACGGGAAGGGTCRCTGGTTCGAGCCCTGCGGTCTCCACACGTGAATTGAGTTTGTTTGATGTGTTGTTCTCTCTCCTGTGCTTCGAGGGTTTTCTCGGCCGGGTTCTCCGGTTTCCTCCCTCCGTAAAAATCAACATTTGAGTTGAGCATTGTGTCCATAGAACATTGAATGTAGTGGTAGTGCGTGTGAGCGAAAAGTGTCCCCAATTAGTGCGAAAGCGCTAGAACGACTAGACACCTAAATAAATAGAGGATATTACATGGGCGCGCGGAGATACGAAATTTATCTTCGAGTGTTGAAAAGATCTCTCACAAGTGAGCGCAGCGAACGAGTGAGAGATTTTCAACACGAGAAGATAAATTTCGTATCTTCAAGCGCCCATGTAATATTCTGTTTATTATATAATTATCAATGACAGTATGTTTTGGCTTTTTCAGGCRATTCTTTCCGCGTATTTTTGAATAGCCATCGCAATGGTGTTATTTTCACACGTGAAAATAACATGTTATTTTCACGTGTGAAGATATCAATTTTTCGAAATAGAGAAAAATAGATATTTCATCGGTAATTATATAATAAAGATATTTATTTTCTATTTTCATAGAAGAACGTAAAAAAAGAGAGRAAAAACTGGAGGAAATGAAAAGAGCCTTCTTGGCAAAGGAAAGACATGAAGAACCAACTAAGGGAGAATTAGAAATCGTAGGTAAGTTCCTCTTGTAAGGAAGAATTATTTCCTGATCAAGCTAATGATGGAATCTTATAAACCATTGGACGTAATGTAGTGACCACTTGTCATTCCCTTGAGGATCATTTCTTTGTTTGATGTTTGTGCATGAGAAGACGCATATGATTGGATACGGCTAATGTTTAATCTTATTCTCAAGACATCATTACGCCCAAGGTAAAGAGACAAACTATTGCCAAGAGCTTTCCCGAAATAATATGGTCCGAATCAAGGTAATCAGTGCACGTAGAGGCATGAARATAACTAGGAATTCTTTTTTCTTTACTTCAGATGGACTCAAAGAAACGGAGGTAAAARATGAAAGCGATAAACCAAAGCAGGGGCAGGAAGAAATCCTTCATCCAGTAACAGAAGAAGCGTGCTTGTCGTCTCCTACCTCTACCTTGGAGGCAGCTCCTAATGAAACAGGGATTACTWGTGAGACAAACGAGAAGAACGAAGAGGAAAAAGAAGATGGGAAGAAAGAAAAAGCTGTTACTGAAGTCGAGGAAGCGACGGGAGTAGGCGAGGGAGCGAAGAAAGGTGAACAAGACGTCAAGAAAAAGCGCGGTAAAAAGAAACTACCGCTTTGTTATCCACGTCGCAAACCCGTAAAATCTACTGTTAAGACTSCCGATAAACCCAAAGAAACAGAAAAGAAAGAGAAAAGGCATGAACCAAAGGAAGAAGAAATCTTAAATCCTGTCGCTAGTACTTCTATCAAGCTCTATTCGCCTATAACTGCTGTACGAGATCAAGACATCGATATGTTGATGGAATGGGAGAAAGAAGGTACTCAAGGTTGGAAGAAAGAAAAGACATCACGTGATTTTCAAATATGGAAACGAAAAGCCCGAGAGGGTTGTCCGCCCGTCASCAAGGTAACAAAAATAGAAGGAGTTGGATATTAAAGACGCTTTCGGAAGTTTCAATTTCATTTTTCGTAGTTATTAACAAAAATAATTAAAGTCAATTAATATTAATTAAAATTAATCAATATGATTCATATTAGATAATAATGATAATTGATATCAATTATTATTACTTATTAATATTAATTTCTTATTATTATCATTAATTCATATCAGCATGTATTTTTTCATTTGACAGGCGATTCTCACACTAAATGATATTCCATATGAAAACGGTAAGCCATAACTATTAGTGATAATCAGTCAAAACATTGATCTTATCAGAAATGAATGTACTGTCTGTTTGCACGGTTGCTAAACAATGTATTAGTATATAGGAAAAAAATCAGAATACAGAATTTCAACTGGTTTCTTTACACAATAGAAAGAAAAAACTATGAAATATCAGAAATTGAAAAATAGCATAGTAAAAGCTCTAACCTTCTTTTCTTTGTCTTTCTTCTTCTTCTTCCTTTTTCTTTCGTTCTTTTTATAAAACGAATGAAAAAGAACAAACATTAATGCATATACACTCCGCCAAAATCAATAAAATCGGGTGCCTATTTTGGACCATYGTGTTCAACTTGTCCTCGAATAGACCTCTTTATCTTGGGTATGTTTTCCTATCACAGAAGAAATGTCATTCTCTGGAAATAAGATTTGTTGTGGCTTTATCCATGTTCGTGTGTCTTCTCCACCGTTAAACAAAAAAGTGATACTCTAGGGAATGACACGTGGTCTGAAGATGGAAAACATAACGCCAGATGTAAAGAGGTCTATAGCAAAAAAAGACTACGCACATATGGCTAACAGGCTTGAAATTTTCCCTTGTGTGATACAGCTATCTCGTAACCCTTTTTTCAGCTGTTGAAATAATTAGTGACTGGGACACCAGGCAAGACTGGGACAAGACGTTCGATAAAGTTACAGTATTAGAAACAATTGATACATCAAGACTCGTCTATTGGTGAGGAAATCTTTTATTTGAAAAAGTGTTTACAAGACATACTTTGCAATAGGAAATGCATAACCAAAATTTGGGGCGGGGGATGGAGCGGTCTATTATCTAATTTAGTTCTTAATCACATTTTTCCTGCAGTCCTGTCAAAAAGAAAGAACTTTTCTTGRCCGTTAAAGACAGACAAGAAGAACAGTACTACGCGTCCGCCTGGAAAAACACAACACATCCAAAAATTGACGATAATAAAACCAAAGAACTTAAGTAAGAAATCGCAAGAATTCCGCTTTACATTTACAGACAATAAACTGATAAATGCATGACCTTCTCTTAAGGCCCTGGCTAACTGACGAGGAAACATGTTTCCCTAAAWGTTTCCTAAGGTGGCAAAACTGTCAGGAAACATCGGGAAACAATGTTTTCATGCGTCTTGGAAACATGAAATGTTTCTGCCGCACAGCAAAAACATATTTTGCGTCTTGGAAGCAAAATTCGTTGCACGCAGGAAACATCGAGGAAACATGCGCGCGGTAAACATGTTTCCTCGTTTAGCCAGGGCCTAAGTTAACCGACAGGGCCGTAACGAGCAGCGAAGGCGAAAGCAACGAGGGGAGTTCGGGGGCAAGGACCCYCGGCCAAGTTTGAAATTCAAACCCTCGGAAATGCGATATCCAGAGTTTTGAGGGGCATTTGTGACATTTTACMAAAGCAACTGCCTCGCTTTCCTCATAGTGGCTACGGAAAGGCCACATTTCAAACTTCGTCTRCACGTTTATCTGGTACAATTAATTCTTCTGTGATGACATTATTAACATATGAGTATACGTATAATACATTTCATTCTTGGTATGCAACATGCAGCAAAATCTTACCCAACCTTTTTTCAAATACCTGCTTATGATTTAGTCCTCGTCGAAAATATGCAGGTTTTTTATTTTCTTTTATTTTTTATTTTCTTTYTTTATTTCCTTCATTCTTTCCTTTCTGTCTGTCTGTCTGGCCTCCTTTAATCCCCTTGTAATATTTTTTCGTTCTTGCCATTTCCTAGGCTTGACTACCTGGTTTCTGGTCTAGTGATTCGTCCAATCAGTAGCGGTGGTTCCCAGATCACCCTGCTCTGCCAGGTCAAAGGCTCGGTTCCTTCACAAGTCAAGAGYACATTCTTGGCAGCCAACCCAGCCAAATGGATCGAAGATCTCAAAAAACACCACGCTAGCAAAACTAAGGAAAATGCTGCAAAATAAGAGCATGCTTCTAATAAGTCATGAAATAGTCTTTAATTAAAAAAAAGGTTTAAAAAAGGTACAGCGGTTTCTGTGTGAGACCACATGTAGAAGAGGTTATTGAATTTACTTGCAGAGATAAGATAAAACAACTAGTAGATAAAGTGCCTAAAATATTTAGAGTACAGTTTTTGAACTGCCATTTAAAAGCTGTTATGTTGATGCTGGTGGAATGTTACTTCATTGCCTGTACGGTGCAAAATTGCGCGCAGTTTTGAAAGCAATCAATGCTGCCAGCCATGTCACACGACGCAATTTGTTTCACGCAATGTCCTACTTCAGMCTGCAATATTGCGCGCAATGTTGCGCCTTGTGTCCACGCCTTCGGGTAGCTATCCTGTGGCACTAGTTTAGTGTAGTTCGTTCGTTGCATTTGATTTTTGCACAGCTCCTAGCTTTCCCGCTTTAGTATTTTCACTTCACTTTCACTATGTTGTACGAATTTTAGAATTGTAAAATGYTTTACGATATTTAAGGACATTTATATTAATAATTAGCTAGAGAGCTCTAGTTATCATGTATTCAAGGGATTTTCAATCAAATCTATATTCTTTGATTTTACTAATGCAAGCAGATAAATTGAATAATCGCGTGCTCCAAAACACTAAAACCTTGAGTCGTGTGCGACATCAGAAAATGAACGCACGAAACAACATGTGATTAACGTTCCAAAGTTTTTGTTTGTTTGTTTT